ATTATTCATTAATTATTATTATTATTGTTATTATTTGGTTGCTTTGTTGTAATTTATAATAAATAATATTATTGATAGTATATTTAATAATATATTTATTTAGTTATATTACACTTTTGATTTATTACTATTTGCTGGTTTCTTGTTTATTTAGTTACATTTGATATTTAATTTATTATTATTATTATTATTATTATTATTATTATTATTATTATTTTGTTGTATTTTTGGACTTTAGTATATTTAATAATATATTTATGTAATTATATTAGATTTTGGACTTTACACTATTATTATTTTTTGTTGGTTTCTTGTGTTTTTATGCTTAGTTAAGTTTACTTTCGGACTTATTAGTATATTTAATAGTATATGTATTTAGTTATATTGTCATTGATACATTTTGGTTTTGTTGTCTGCGACACTTTAACTTTTATATTTCCCCCTCGAAGATAAAATAAAGACTTATTTATTGCAACTTAAGCTTAGTGCCAACTTTACATACCAAAGGTGAATAATTAGAAATTTTTGAAAGCGTGGTAACTCACCCCATGGTGTTGAAATCATCATCAGGCGGCACGTAATCTTCATCATCGCTGGTGAGGCCGAGCTCATTACCATAACACTGATGAACAAAGTGCCAGAGCTCTTTAGGACAGAGAGGCTGCAAACAGAAGCGGATGATACACTTTTAGATAACACTTGATGCAATAAATCCGATACTTCTTTAAATGTTCTAAAATTATGGAAATAAAGTTCAGTTTCTGGTACAGACTGATGGTATTTTGCTTCATAAATCCTCAATGTATTCTCACCTTTTCCAGCAGAGCGTTCTGCCAAAGTCTGAACATCATCATGTAAGTTCTGTCTCTCGCACCAAACGATGTGAAAAAGTGCTGAAGAGAAAAGCAAAGCAAAAGATGCACATTTAAAAAAAACAACAACAAATTTTACACAATTTTACAAAATGTGAAGATGTGATACAGACTGATTTCAACTGCAATTTCTGTGACTTTAAACTCTAAATAAAAAAAAACAAAAACAAAGGTTTACAAATGCAATGACCAACAATAAGTGATCTTGCGCTGCCATCTAGTGGTTAAAATGGTATGTGAATAGAATGACTGTGTTTTAGTGGCTAAAATTGTACAGAAATATTTTAAACATCCATGATAGACATGACTGGGAAAACATATTGCGCGAATAAACAAATTAAGTGATAAGCTTGAACTAAATTAGATTTCAAATGCAATAACAGTGTTTATTCCATGTCAGGATGTGATTCTGCAACTAATTTCAGTGACTTTAAACTCTAACAATGAAAAAACAAAGGTTTACAAATGCAATGACCAACAATAAGTGGTCATGTGCTGCCATCTAGTGGCTAAAATGATAGCTTTAGTGGCTAAATTGACAATCAGATTTTGAGACCTAATGTGTGCTGTGTTAAAGAGTGCCAAAATAAAAGCCCTCACCTTTTCAGTGTCTGTGCAGACCTGGATGGCGTTGGGAATGAGGCGCGCTGTCTTCTCCTTCGTCATGGAGCAGATGTCTTTCAGCCGTACTGTGAGCTGCATGAAACATAAAAACTGAACTGAAACTGCTCTCTAAAACTCTCAGGATAGAGCTAATGAAGTCTGAGTTTGAGAAAACCATACCAGAGTCTCCCAGCGGAAGATGTTGCTGTAGAAACAGATCCAGTTTTCGGAGAGGTAGAGGCGGCCCTGCAGGAGGATGTCCCGCTGGAGAGCGCACGAGTAGTCTAGCAATGACAAAACAGGGTCAAATTAATTAGATTATATCATATTAGATTATATTGGTGACATAGTGGCTGAGTGGTTAGCACTGTCGCCTACAGCAAGGTCACTGGTTCTAGTTAGCATTTCTGTGAGGAGTTTGCATGTTCTTTCCATGTTGGTGTGGGTTTCTTTCACAGAACAAAAACTAAAATGGCCGTAGTTTATGTGTGTGAATGTGTGTGTATGAGTGTTTCCCAGTACTGGGTTGCAGCTGGAAGGGCATTCGCTGTGTAAAACATATGCCAGATAAGTTGGCGGGACATTCTACTGTGGCAAAAGTCGAAAAAAAAATAAGTTAATGAATATATAAATTCATATACACCTTTGACTTTTTTGTTTTCTAATTTCCACAAAATTATATATATATAATAATACACACACACAAACACACACACACACACACACACACACACACACACACACACACATTTAAAATATAAAATAAATGCACATTTGACATTAAAATGCACACATTTTAACAAATTTAATAAGTTCTTATAAAATGTATTTATGAGATTATATTTAAAATTCTGTTCAAATATTTATTTCCCAAATACATTAAAACATTTACAAAGTACACAAAATTTAACATGAATAAATTATATATATATATATATATATATATATATATATATATATATATATATATATATATATATATATATATATATATATATATATATATATATATATATATATATATATATATATATATATATATATATATATATATATATATATATATATATATATATATATATATATATATATATATATATATATATATATATATATATATATATATATATATATATATATATATATATAT